AAAGCAACTAAATAAGCAAAAAGTTCAACATTAGATTCATTTGGAAGTCTTGTTAAGGTACAGTCATGGTTATGCTTTTGTTTTCATTTATTTAACATTTAAACCAGATTCTTCCTCTGAGGAATACGATGTCTGGACTACATTTCACAGCAAGTCACAGTTGTCAATACACTGCAAAGAAACCCTCTGAGGACCAAAGCAATGCATGATATTGTTTTCATTTTTTATAGTCTGAATCTGAATGGATTAAAGTGTAAGACTGCATCGCATCATTTTGGCTTTTTAAAACCCAAATCGACACAAAAATGTGTAGCTGGCTGCACTCAAGTGTGCATACACTATTCAGCACTTGTCATTAACCAAATCTCCAAAAATACTATGTCTGAAACGGCCTCTTTTACGATTACATCAGAACAGCACTTCATCAGCAGCACGACTGGCTGAAAACCTCAAACATGTGACCAGTAATGCCACTTCTTTGTGTCAAAACGGAGCAAACAGTGAATCAACAAAGAGCACACAGACACATTAAAACGTAATGAACAGACCACTCTGTGAGCAGCCACAGAGAAGATTTAAAAGACTTTGAGAGTAAAGGTTAAATTTTAAGCCGTGTCTCCATCTTTGCCAGAACGACTGACAGTCTGTCAGTCAAACGTTCTACAAAACCAGCATCATAAGAAAAGGACTGCCACGTAAGTGGTGCTCTCAGGGCTTGTGGGACTGTGCCATTATTATTTTTCCACAACAAAACTTTGTGTGACTCACATTCTCCTCTGGCAAAGACTTTTATTATGGAAGTGAAATAATAATAATGGAATAATGGAATAAGTATTCCAGCAGAAGGCCCAATTCCAAAGCTGAACCTAAGTCCTACCCTGCCTCAGTCCAGCACAGAGGAAACATAAAACCTCACTGGACCTGCTCCACATACATTACTATTTATTTGGGATTTTTTTCACTTCAATGGTGGAGATACATAAGGAAAAATGAAATATAGTTAATGTGAAAATCTGTGCTGTTCATAGAATCTGTGAAGAAGATGTAAAAATGTGCAGCAGCGTGTCTATGAAACACCCTGAATGATTTCTCGGGCATCAACATTCTCACTTATCATTTATAAAAAGCTTTACTATTTATGCCGTGTCAGAATCATTAGGGAACAAGTAAACAGAATGCAGTTGTGACCAATTCATTAAACAAGCAAACATGTTTGGTTGAGGCGAGATAAGACATAATATATTGAGTGACATGGGGAACAAATAGCAAATAATTAATCCCTAAGCAAACACAGAAGACATGAGTTTCCACTGGGGTTCAGCTGGCTCAGAAGAAGAGGCAGGAGCTGCACTGAATACTAAAAGTACACAGGAGGCAACACAAAGACACAAGGCTACTTAAAGGCATATGAAAACCAGGAAAGGATCAGCTGGCCAAACAAAAGGACAACCAATCTACTGGCTGTAGACAATTTAAATTAGCTTGAGATGTATACAATGAGTGGACGGGTGGAGTTAGATCAACAAATGACCTGCACCTAAAATATAACACAGCAAACTCTCACTCTGCCGTTGCAATAGCAGTGGGTTTGATTCAGCTGACTGGTGACCCCTACTGGCTTCTTGTAGTAATGACAAGACTGGCTGGGTAAAAAAAGCTCTCACTACAGTTGACTGCAGCACAGTTCCTCTTGATAAGGTGTTTAAGGATTCATAAGATAGATATTTTAACCTCACAACCCCACCAGTCACCAAAGTAAGAGTCAGAGATCAGCTGTATTTACTGCACTGTGGTGCTGAACATCATCATCATCATCATCTTTCACAAACGTAAAGCACAACTTCAAAATTAAACATTTAAAAGATCAGTGAATAAATGTTTGATAAAACTAAAATAAACTGTGTTTTCC